GAAGAGATAGTGTGTTCTGGCGCGGAGTTGGCTAGCGTGCGGTGGAGTTTGATTATTCCTCGCGAAGTTTGCGGTTAGTGTGTATGTATTTTAACGGTGGTATTTCGTTTTTCTGACTCATCCAACGCGGTTCACGCAGCGTGGTGTCCGCGGCGCGCGCCTGCCCAGCCAGCCGGTAAGCCCGAGCATGTGTGAGCGGGGCAGTACCGACATCGTCGGAACCGGTTACAACTGATCCGGTCCGGGTAAAACCAGCACGATCCGGTGCTGCCCCCGAGAGGCACGTGTGACCGCGGCCCGCCCGCCGCCGCATGTCCAACATTCCCCACATTCAACACGCCCGCCCTCAGAATGCAGACCGCGAACCAGACACGCAACTATTTTGCATAGTTTCTCTGCTCACTTGCAGTCTTGAGCCGAACGCCCCCAGAAAAATTCTAATACCTACTTTAAAATCAAGAGCGTTCCTCTCGTATGTACAATTTACGTGTACGACTCCACGGAAAAAGAAACTTAAATGTTGCGACAAATTAGCGCCTTGAAACGGAATTCCTTTAAAAGTCACCCGGCCTTCGGTGTGAATCCAAATAATTAGCTGGCGAGGCGGCGAGTGGCCGCGAGTCGCGAGCAGTGCCAACTCCATTTGTAATTTAAGATATTTGACCGTTAATTATTTTAGAAACTGTTAAGTTTAGTGCTTGCCGTTTAGGTCGGATAAGCGCCCTCGTCTACGCTGACCTCCACACCACCTCTTAGATTCATGTAAATAATAGCTCTAGTGGTCCTCCTAGAGATCGGCTTCCCGTCGATTTAGATCCGAGTGCTGTGTTTGGATGGGTCAGAATATTTATTTATTTCATTTAATTTCTAATAGATATAGTGTTATTTTATGGATGCCCATAGATTTTGACTATAAAACGCTAGTCTAGCGAGCTCCATCGCCCATAAATGTTTATTGTAGAATTTGACCGAAATGGAGTATGTCCATGAGATGATATTGGACACCATTAGCATTCTAATCTCTTCTAGTTAGTGTCAGATTGAGTGCAAACAGATTGCGCAATACATGATTGCGCGCGTAGTAAGTCCTTTCTCCCGCATGGGGACTGAAATAGTCAAAAACTTAATGACCCGACCTCGTATTCCAATATCCTTCTTATATTCCTTCTTTTTTTTTTGAAACCCTGGGATAAGGGATTTACTTACCGTAAATTTGTAGTTTTCGAGTGTTTATAAAAATAATGTGATACCAAGAAACCGAAGTTCGCCGAAAGTACGGAGAGACGTCCGCTGCTATATAGGGCGAGTAATTCCTCTTTTGAAAGTTATGATGTTTGATACGTATCGTAATTATGGACAATTAGAATAGTTTATCAGAGAAGAGATTAAGATAACTGATATAGTAGAAAACTCATAGTGTTTTCAAGGTTTATAAGTAAATTAGAAGTTTTTGTACATAGACACTAGACTAGACTATGAAATTAGAGCTAAAATGAAGATATAAAGTTGACAAAGAGTTGTAACTGTAGACACAATTTGTTAAAAAGGACGAAATTAGAGTTTCTCTAGAATTAGAAAAAGAAAACACGGGTGATTTAAAAATGCTGTTGTAAATTAGTGAAGCTTTAATTATAGCTGTAAGAATAATTTGGGAAAGCGTCGAAATATCTTGTTCAAAATGCTTCATTTGAGACAGTAGGTAGAAAAAGTAAGCGTTTAGAAATAGGTGGTAAAAAGTAATCTTATTTGTGATTGGTGGTGCAAACTCTTAAATATGTTTTATACATGTATTTTTATTGTTTAGTATTAAGAATTTGTTATTATTAGAATAGATTTTTAATGTGATTAATCCATTTGTGCCTTAGAATGAAGTAAAAAAATAAAGTATTAATTAATAGAAACAATAGAACCGAATTTATTTGTTGTTACAAATCTGAGCAGTTAGAATAGCAAAACTTTCAAATAATATAGAATAGTCATAATTTAAGCCGTAGTAAATGTAGTAGTAAGCGGATCTAATCTGCAATTTGACTACATGGGTAGAAATAAATTGTTAACTAGCTAATTGTAGATAAAGGTTTTCAATTTTTCTCATCAATCTTGTGTGTTGTTTCTGAAGACTCATATTCGTACGCTTTTTAATGTGGCTTTATATGTTTTTTATCTTATTTAATCTATGGCTGAACCACGGCATCGAGCATTATGGGAAAGACCTTCGACATTTATTTTACGAGGCAGTAGTCAGCAACGGTGCTGAAATCTCGTGAGGTTTTAAGAAAGAAGGACAAGGCGCCTTCTTTGTAATTCAAATAAGCGTGCGTGCGGGCAGCGTCAGCATAGAAATTCGATTAATTTGCAATTGAGATAAGTCCCAACGGCTAAGCGATCGAAAACTCGCAAAAGCGTATCATCTCCGCGAGGAGTTATTGATGGTACCTATTAAATACACGTTTCCGATGCGATGTGTGCAGGAGTCAAGTTACCCAGTAAACACTCAAATAAAACATATCAATCGCGCCAAGTGGAATAAAGTATTAGAAGCTTGTTCGTGAGGAATGGCCGCGCAACTTTTATACGGTGTGTGCGAGTGTTTTAAAAGTACTTGGGCACTTAATGGCAGCACTTCGCGTTGCTTATAAATTACTTACCTTTACTTTACGCAGAAAATGTATCGAGACCAAAACGAGGAGATATTGCCGTAAACACGAGTGATTGCGGATATTAAGGTTCTTTTTCAGGGGCAAGATCTGATGGGTTATCAGAAAATTTTGTGGAGTTTCAAAATGTAAGGTTGTTACCCCTTTTCACTCACAATAATTATAAATTATTACACAATTATTATGAGTCCAAATGTCCACGGTTTTTAATGTGAATTAAAAGTTTCCGTTAGCTACCATGGTCCTCTCTCAGGATCCTATTGCGCTGAACACTAACTTTTCACGTTTTATTCCCTTAACTGCCGACAAATTCGTCCCAACTCCTATTTCTCATGTAACACTAAAGCACCCGCACATACCTTGCGAAAATTCCGGGCCCCGATTTTCGAAGTGGAGTTGAACATTGTTATACATAAAAAGGCCCACGTAATATACTAGGTGGAAGGGCGCGACTACGTACTACACCCCGTGAATATTTCCTTCGACCGTCATCCCACTTCAGAAGAAGAATTATTAAGTTTGCCGAACTTCGCAATTATGAAAGTTCGAATAGCTCTCGTAAGACGGCCGCTGAATTTATAGATGAATATGTGCTCACCTTTATGGCGAACGGCATACTTTGCGAATCACAAACAAACATTCACAAATAACTGACGCCGGTTTGAATTTATACGACAGTATCAACAACCACGGCGCGAAATGAAAAAGTTTTTAACAAAACGTCAGTTTTCAAAGTGTTAACAACATTGTTAGCATCACTTTCGCGTATTAGTTACAGAACATATTAGAAAGCTGGGCATGCACTGGCAAGCATACTCGCTTTCTGCTTAGATGACTTAATTTACTGGCTCCTTTGCTTCGTAAAGTTTCAAGAAACTTTAACTATTACACGCACAAATTACATTTTAGACGTATTTTAGCTGTAAGTTAATGTCGGGGGCAGATATGACCGGTGTAGATAGCTCGCGCCTCTCGTCTGTTAACTCGATTTAAGTCGTAAATTATTTGAGGTGGAACTCCCTCGTATGGCTGAGTTATACCTGTTTGTGATTTCACCCATTTTGAAACTGTTATAGAGTTCTGTTTATAGCTTAAAGTGATTTTGTCGCCATTTATATAGTAAATTGACCATTGAAGACAACAAATCATCGTTAAATTTTAGCTTATTTATTTATCATCAAGAAAGTATTGGGTCGAACACAACACTTTTGGTGGAAACAAATAGGTCCGCGCCATTGATCAATAATGACTGCAGTATAATGGGAAATGAATGATCGTACAAACGATCGAGAGACGCTTCTACGTTATCAAATTCTTGTTTATTACACGGCGGCCCTCAAGTAAATAGCCTCTCACGTCCGGAGTAATGTTATTAAAATGTGTCAGCATTTTGTGGCGGGCAGGAGCGCGAGCGCGCGCGTTCGTCCGAGCGTCGCGGCCGCGCGATCTATCATCCATCCTCCATTACTTATATTGTACTTTTTTTGCCAAGTCACTCGCAGGCCGGTAATCACCTGGTGCGACCGCGGTCCTCCATTTTTCACACTAAGTCATAACTCGCGCATCTGACAAAAATAAAATTTGTCGTACAAGCCAATAGGGGTAATGGGGGCAGTATGAGATCGCAGAAAAGTAAATGTTTGGACACTTTTAGGCAAAAAATAAATATAAGACTAAATCTAATATTTCTGTGCGCCAGCGGCTCGTGTATGCGTAGTACGAATGAGCTAATTAGGATAAGTGTAGGCAGGCTTGATCTCAACCGTAACGTATCGATAAAATAATTATGAAGACATTATTCTTTACGACGTCAAAGTTTTTTATTACTTATTTACAAAACGAAAAGTATTCGTAGATAAATTGAGAGTATTACAGTGTTAAGTGGAAATAGTTCTCAGATGCGTAAGTCGGGCGCGTTCGGAAGCTTGGGCGGGCGGCGAGCGTCAAGACGCGGCGACGTGCGGCGTATGCTAAATACCCTTCCCTATTCAATAAGCAGACCGCCGCGTGCCAGCGAGAACTCACGTCGGATAATTTACTGGATATTTTGTAAAAGTTTTTTCGCCCTCTGTGATTTATATCCGCGAAACTTCTAGCTCTCTTTTTCATTTGAATGCACGTGACATACGTGATATATTTTTTTTTTTGTTTTCCGACATAATCTCGTGTCCCTCGAGTTCGTCAGCGCAGCATCTGTCTCGGACGAGTAAATTATTCATGCATTTACGTGGTGACGTAAGGTAGGATGTTAAGGGTGACAGAATACGATGGTTCAGTCATGGATGTGTGACTAACTAGTTTGTGAGTCGTCCGTGTGAATGCGAACCGTGTGTATGTTTGCAGTTGACCTGACCAACGGCCAACTCACACCGAACAACAACACACCGCTGCTCGCGCAGGCACTCTCAGGTGAGGATGCCATTACATCAATATCATTCATCATCATACAATACAAGTTTCACACTGCGAAAAGGCCGGGAGGCGAATATTTGCCGCTTTATGTGTTCTACGTTCCCTTTGTTGTTTGTTTTAATGGCTCAATCTACACAAATTATTACGAGTAATAGCAATTATCGAAAACCCGTTTCAGTAATAAAACAGCCCACATACTTAAATTGGACAAATGAGAACATGAGTAATTATACACCTTAACAATAACTACAACAATATCATTGATTGCACTGTCCATTAGTGAGGGTGGAATCGGAATGAACGAACAGGGTTGTCAGATTATCCGAATCGGACATCTATTAAGACACATTTTTGGACAACCCCTTAATTTAAATACAGTAATGACGAAATATAATTACAACCATCACATGAAACAGTACAATAAGTTAGGCAATAATCATACTCTGGCAACCCTGATTACAAAGCAGTGTGCACACTGCACAACCTGACGGCAGACTTCTACGTGTCCCCAGTGATGAACAACTACCAAGCAGCAGCGGCCGGATTCGGGCCCCCGGCGTCGCCGCACGCTGCGGGCGGCCGGGCTGGGTTCCCCGCGGCGAGCTCGCCGGGCCCAGCGCTGGATGTGTACGGCTCGGCGGCGGACAGCGTGGGATACGTGCAAGCGGCCAGCCCTCAACCATCCGGATTCCCCGCGATCGCAGTAAGCCGCGCGCCCCTCAATTACACCCCAGTGAGTGTGCTTCTTTAACTGCTACAAAGCCGTACTCAAAAAAGTCGAATGTTAATTTAATACTTAATAAAGCCACATGTTAACTCATTTTATTGTTATCGCAAATAAAGAGACAAATTTGGTAAAACTTAAAAATTTCAATGACTTTTCTGTGTGTGGCCGAATGACTGTTGCATAGATGCCTTACACTTTTCTAAACTTACCTTTTTCTCAATAACAATACTTAAATTTTATAGTGAAGGCTTAAGCTATCTGTTTCGTATTCCTTTCCCTACAGAACAGATAACTTATAAAATCATTCTGAAGTTGAGAAATCTAAAAATCAATGTAAAACTCTCTTCTTTTGTCAAAATTTCATATTATATTTCAATCATAAATATGTCGCAAGTTGCCTACGAAACAGTCCATTTTACTAACTCGTTTCTTAACGATCTTTGTTTATTTTGAGAAATGTGATATAATTGGATTTTTATTGAAATGGAATAAATACTACTTGTTTCTTAAACTTTGTGTGATTTTGTTTTTCTTTTGGGTAACTAACGACTCCATTTCTTACTTAAAAAATGGATAAAATTTTGTATTAAACAGATTTACTAACACTGTAACATAACAAAGGTGGTATAAAGCGTTCTAAAAATAATCTCAAAGTATAAGAACAATGTACATAAACAAAATGATATAACACTAGTATAGTATTGCGCTATGTTGACTATACTGAGAGAATACTAGCATAAATGGTGCTGAACTAGTTTTTTAAATACAATTACCTATTTAAATTGCTAGTATAGTTATTATTAAGACCGAATATTAGAGTTATCGTATTCAAAGAAAATCTTACGAACAATGTTTAAAAATAGTCAAAACTTGTTCCCGTTAAAACGTATACAAAAGATTCCCATTTATTTTATTTCGATTTTAATGGGATAAAGTTATTAACTTTTTTCATTTATTACGTCATCTTCAAAATACCCATTTCAGTAGCACCCAAATGAAGGAAATTCCCAAAATTGTCCTTATTCCAGAAGTTTCGACTGTCACGAAATTCAAATTAATGTTTGTTTTGTTTTGTTTTTCTTCGGGCCTTTTGATTTGCGATCCGAGAGGTTAGAAGTATATATTTTTCTATTCCTGCTGATATTTAGAACTGAAAATCTTGTCTGTGAGTTGTTCTAAAACCAAATTTTTTATCGGTAATTATTGAAATCTAATAACATTAAAGCATTAAATTCCTATCGTACATATAATAGTGGCACACCAAAAACTTCATGGCAGGTTGTCGCTCTGAAATACACTATGGAGTTCGATGTAAAGAGATTTTATTTATCCCTTATAAACATGTATATTACAGCAAAACTACAAATTGTGCTACAAATTGAAATAAAATTTAGAAAATCTGTAAATTTAACACAAGATGACAGTCGAGAAAAATCTAAGTTCACGACGTCGATACCGCAGCGCCTGTAATGCCGAAGATAGCCCTGCGCCGCAGAGCAGACGCAATTAGCAGTCGACGACACTAAAATTTTAGCGAGACGGTCCAATCTCATTACTGAACCGATCTTCCTTGTCGCTCTTAAAGCGTAATCACCATAAGTTAGTGAACGAGCAAAGCGTGAGAGATGCGATTATAAAGTGTTCCGAAATATGAGGCGAGCGGGCGGCGCGGCGCAATCTACGCGGTGCACTGCCTGTAATGGGTTTTTAAAACTGCGACCGAGCTCCATAACTGCTTCCTTAGACGCCATCAGTCTTCATTGCTTGTCGGCGCCTTCAGCCACCAAGATCTTAACTCCTCACGTCCTTGTATCTCGAACACATTTTTCATACTACGCTCGGAAGCTTCCTTAATTTTTATTGCGGTTTGAACGTTGCACTATTTTCAAACAAAGATACAGTCAAGATAAATACGGGCACGCGTAACATACAAATATAACTCTTATTGATGTGCGATATAGTAGCAAAAATGTAATCTATGATCGCACTTACGAACTTGCACGTTGACCAGTCGTTCTATTAAGTTTTCACTTTGGTAATTTCGCCCGACAAATGGGATTTATGAGTGAGCTTACAAATTTACATGGACGGGGTCCGATTGTTCCGGAGAGCGTGAGGAGAGTGGTTCTCGCGGCGAACGCAACACTAAGCTACCCTTCCGTTTCAGTCGAGTCGTATATCAAACGGGATTATTAACTCAATCGTCCGTAATCGCTGGGGCAAAACAAATACGTCGCTAATGAGAGAATGAACGGTCCAGCCGTCGGCCGGCCGGTCGGCGCATGTGGTTCCCGGGTGTAAAACGGTCTTATTAGGTAACGGGAATGCCCCGCGGGCAATAACCGTAAATCAGGGAGAACAAGCGGTGTAATTACCACTGCCGAGCCGTCGCGCGTTGCTCTAACTCATCCACTCGCTGTTTTTATTTCGCCGACCACCGAGCCCGCTAGCACTCTATCGAATGCGAGCACCAAACTTACTACCTTTAAATCTGCCCCAGGAGAGGCTAATGTTCGACTGAACGCTTTATACCCCCCATTCAATTATGAGCCACGAACCCGATTAACTAATTCGGTTTTACTCACAACTCGTTTTATCGACTACACCTTTATCGACATTTATCCAACGTTCGACAACATCTAATAGCGTTTCTCTTTTATTTTCAGGGACCCCTGATTCCTGCGGCTTTTACCAACGGTTATCATTGAAAGTGTTATAGCACAAATATTTTACGTGAGTATTATTTTTATGTGCACTTTCGTCCCACTCTATTAAAATGTAGTTACGGTGAACGTAGAGCAATAAAAATGCCGGCGTGTGTAATCGTTGCCGCGCCGTAGAAATGAACACTGAAAATTAACACAAATGATTTTTTAAGCACTCATAAGAATTATTATTCGTTGCCGCTAATATTAATGGTCTGCTAACTGTTGATATACATTAAGTTCAACATTTTATATAAATTATTCTAGACAATTGTACTCTATTTGTTGTTTTAAAATATATGAAATATTAAGTCAAAATAAATAAACTAAGTATTTTTTGTTTTCTTTAGGTGGCGAGCGGTGTGGCGGCGCCTAACGTCCTCTGAGCGCAGCCGGCCGCCGCAAGACCCCTCTCCAGCCCGCTACCAGCCGCGCCGGCGCCGTCCGGCACCGCATACTACCTGCGCTCGCGCTACACGGCGACCGGCGCCGCGTGGCCGCCCGCAACCGTCCCATCTCGCACGGACCGCGGCGTCTCGATCGCACCAACCCTATCCGCTCGACCCTACCCTACGTCCCCACATACCCCCACCTCGTCTATTGTAAATAACTATAATCTACTTTTTGTCGTGTGAACGAGAGATAGTATATCGATATTGAACAGGTATTTTTTCAAATTTTCTCGCTTTCGTCTGTACCGTAGATGTGTTGTCAGAGTAATAAACGATTTAAACTACAAAAATATAATAATAATAATACATTTCATTATCATAATTATAATAAAGTGCATCTAGACGATTGTATTGCAGGGAAGTACATAATAATTATTATCTTAAATATTTTATTATTCGTAGTTAAATTACAGTTTAAGGTATATAAAAATACGTGTCCTCGACGCGCACGGGCCGTTTCGTTACTCTACGTAGATGTCGAATTTCCTTTGTATTGATTGGTACCCCACCGAGATCGTTTCGCATACAGTAATATAATGGTAACCGCAAGCTTTGGTATGGTAGTTGAGAGTGGTTAATGCGAGCGTCCACGAGCGGTGGTCACAGTACCCAGGTCGGCCGGTAGCGGCATGCGGTGTGGCGGCCGCGGCGCACGCGCGGGTAATGTCCACGTGCCGGCAGCGCCGCGCCCGCGCACCACCCGCGCCGCGCCCGCGACTGGAGACCGGAGACAATAACGGTGCGCGACTCGAGCGTCCGCGCGCCTCCTCGCTCGTCCACGACACACACATATTTAATTCTATCTATTTTTAATATTAATGTCAAATATTAACATAATTATACTATTATATATTACGCATATTTTACCTATGAATGTAATTATTTTCGCCTAATTCGAATTGTATAAAATCACCTCTTTGGACGGCTGTTCTGTTTCAGTAGCGAACGAGTTTCTCGATTACTTCCGTATAAGACTATGTTAGTTACGAGTATACATAACTTCTAATATTATGTATTATGATATAAAATTTTATCCTAAGGATAATGAATGATCATATTTACGATTCATAAGGCCGTTTTGAGAAGCTAAGTCGGAACATTTCAGATATCTCTCATCGCGTTAAGATAATAATTCGTTTCTATCTTGTACCTTTAAACGTAGGTATTGTAATTATAATAAATAACAATTTTGTGCATTTCGTAATAATATTTCATTGTTTCTTACGATTGTATTTACCGTAATTTAAGACTACTGCTGAGAAAAATTACGATACTCCTCTTAAAATGCGGAGTCACACCGTACTTAGTTGTATTAAAAGTTTTAATCAAAATAATGATTCTTACAGTAAAAATCGTGCAGACGGTACTAGTTACACGACATTAATTCTTCAATAAATAAAGACAGGGATAAATAAAAAAAATGCAGCCAAAGGCGCAGGTTTGAGGTAATAGAATAAAATATGAAGTCAATTCAGTAATCATATTCGTTAGGTACTGGTGACATTTTATCGACCACTTTATCTAGTTTGCAGCAGTTAGAGAGGGACGTGGGGCGTGCGTAGCACTCACTGCGTAGCACCAACACGCTACGTCGTAGGGTCGCTACGAACGGTACTACGCTGCGTCTGCGCACGCGCCACTGTCGCTCACTACACACCATGCACTCGGTTGCATCCATTCGTTATTTACTATTATTATTACTCATTACCTACATCAATTAAACATTAATAATTATAAATCTAGGTATAAAATTATAGGTAATAATAATAAACAATCTTTTAAATGCTATTATTATATAAATACGTTATAAATATAAATGTTTCCTGTTACAAAAAAAAATATTGAAAATGATACGAAATAAATCAATATTCTTTTTAAAGGTAATTTATTACTTATGAGTATGTAGTTAATTGAATAATGGAGTGTTAGTCGGAGTGCGTCCGCCGGCGGGCGGCGCTCTCGCTTCGCGTTTTTGTTCGTTCGTGCCGAGTTCGTTCGCTGAGATGACGTCACGTGCGGCAGGCAACTCGAGCGCCGCGCGCGCACACCGCAGAGACGCGACCGCGATTATGTTGTTAAAACGTTAGCTAGGAAATTGATAATGAAATCGAAGGTGTGAAGTCTATAGGACGGTCGGAGTGACGATATCATACCTAACAAATTAACGTAATTATTTGTTTTATATTTACGGTGTTATAGGTATTGTAAGACATTTTTTCTTAGAATATTTAATTATTACGATGAGATGTTATAATTGTTAGGCCCGGGCCGGCGGCGGGAGGGGGCCCGCGCTCCGCCGCCGTCGCCCGTCTCATTCACCTTCACATCCTCACTATAATTATATTTTCTTACCGATCTTTTTAATGTAGGAGAAGCGCACACGGCCGCTTGTCCCCGTGCGAATACGAGTACAAACATACTAACAAACATAAGTGAGAGTTGTTCGTTTCGCCGCGTTCGTGAGAAGCCATCGGTTCGCCGCGTCTGCACCGAGACGATTCAATCACGATATTGTAAATACATAGTTAGCCGCATGTGTAAAAAGAAATGTTAGGTGAGCGCCTCACTGCCGTATGCGCGACCGATGCACCGTCCGTCTGCCGTCAATTACGCTGACGTAACACCGACCTACAGCGACATAATAATTGTATACGCTTGCTTTTTTAAAGACCCTGGTACCTGATAACCGTAACACCAAAGAGTTTTTTACATAAGCTACCGTATAGTTTCGGAGGACCTTCGAAATTTTCCGCTGAGAAAAATCACTATTTTTGTTCCTCACTTGTATTAAAAATTCTCGGGAAATTTCGAAATACACCTCCTTTAGTACACAGTGTTCAATGAGGAGATTGGCGCGACCGCCACCTAGGTCAGTTAAAAAGGCAGTGTGTAATCGGTCATAGTTTGGCGCTGCTTAGAAACCATCTGATCGATATTAGATTCATTCGAGCTGCAATAAGGATTAGCTTGACGAATATTAGTTTCATTGTTGTTGTTATGGTTTGTTGATAAAACGATTTTGTGAGGTTGTTTTTAGTATCACCCTTTTTAGGACTTTTATTCATGGACTATAAAAGGGAGGTTTTCAAAATTTTATCAGTGTATAAGGTACTTTTAAGATTTTGCATTTAAAATAGTTATGGCCGTTAAAAGTCATTGTTGATTCGATTCTTGACTCGTTGATATTAATTTAACTGTAAGGCATTGTGGAATGTGACCGTTTTTGTAGTCCGTGACGTAAAAGTGACTCCACTCGGTGCGGCAACGCAGTCAGCAAGTGGCGTCTGCGACTTCAGTGCAGTAGTAGCCACTTGCTGACATTGACTGCCGCGCCATCCTCTCTCGCTTTTTCGTATACGCATTAGTTTATTTCAGTCACCATTTTAGAAATGTGTTCTATATCAGAATAAAGACTATGTAATGATAAGCGAGATCTCAAATTTATTTTAAAAAAAATTCGTTAATTGTGATCCTAATATTGCGACTTATCGTATATATTATATGTATGTAATAAAAAAATTAAAAAGATAATTTATTATATTTTGTATAATGACATTCTACGTTATCTTACACTCGATCTACTTTATATTGTTATTAAAGATAATAATTAATTTTAATCTAATAACGTGACAGACTGGTAAAGTTCGTAGAGTCGCTGTGGCGGCCATAGATCAGTAGCTTTGCATATTCGGCGATGGCCAACTTAATGTTTCAAGGACCAAAGGTATACTTATTCGCGTAGAACCGGACGCGCATTGGCTCCGCACGAACCGACCCCAGCCGATCGGTTGTTACATTGCAGCATCAGAGCGTGTCTATGAGTATAGCAATGAGAATTCACAAACGGGCATGGCGGTCGCAGCTTCGTCGGTCTCTGACCCGTGACTTCGTGGGTTTTGAACCCGAAGCCTAAGGTTTGGACCTCAGGCCTCGCGGGACCGGGAGCTTCGGCCAGTGGCGGTGAGAGCTTCGATGGATGGAAGTGATGGGTCGTTGACCTCGCCGGCCACTGGCGCCCGCGCACCCGGCCCCGCCCCGCCCCGCACCCGCCTCCCACACCCGCACCCGCTCCCGCTCCCACCCCTCCCCCACACTCCCGCGCAACGCCGCCCGCTTGCTTTCGTTCTCGCGGTTACTTCTCGATTGCGTGCTTCGCGTGCTGACTGATTTTCTATAGCAATAAAAATCAATTACCTAAGATTTTACATTAAATAAATTTGGATTTATATACGTTCGAATTTGGTGTCATGTACATTTAAAAATATTAGAGAATGGAGATAACGATAGGCGAACGATCCCGCGACGCGTGGTCGCGGCGTCGGCGCATTATTTTCGTCATTTCTTCGTGTATAATATGTTACATGAATCTGTATACAATATGGATATAAATCGTAATGATGAATAAAATTAGTTTTTACGACATCTCTTTATTAAAATAATGATAATATCAAAACGTTTTGTAAAAAGCGGTGGGTATGTCCGCCGCCCCGATACGTGCACCCGTGCACTTTCTTATTGAAATATTACATTATATAACGTACATAATACTATGAGATATATAATCATACAGCCTCTCGGGGCGCGCGTGTATGGCGATGTATGTATACACATTGTGCAATGTACATATACCTATTATAATACAATGATTTAAGACAAGGTTCACATCGTGCCGTGTGTATGTGGTAATAAATATAATATGGACATTGTTCAAACAATAAATCGGTTGTTTTATTTATCTTTCCTTGTTATTACCTCTATGTTTTAATCTACCAGAAATCTGTAGTAAATGGGTTCGATTCCTGTTTCACAAAAAAGAGCTATAATAACAAACACCAATGAAATGTTGGAAGAGCAATGAATTTTGGGACAGCCTATATATCCCACAATTCAGGTTTCTATAAAAGGGCCGTGAGCAAGCAACTTACAGGGCAAGAAGGTGAGGATGGCTGGTGTAGCAGGTAAAACTGCTGCACCAGCTATGTTCGCGTCTGGACACCACCAACACTTAGCATCAGATGGGGTGGCGTTATTTTCTTGGACCTAAATAAAATAAAATAAAATAATAACAAGTGGAAACTGAATGTGAAGAAACGACTCAGATGGTCACCTTTTTAATTTACAAAGAAGTATACTCAACAAAAGAATCTAAGTAACATGAAATTTTTCAAAAAAAAATGCTTGTATTATTGTATTAATAATAACCAATTTGATTTTTTAGCGAATAAAGTGAGAAATATTTCAATAATTTATACATTTCATAATGTTAATATTATCATGGGATAAAACTTGCAAATTGTGTAAATTATGCGTGTTTCTTAGACTTCTTTGATGTGTGTATATTTATGTATTTTAAAATGAGGTTCATTATCAGCCTTCAGCAGTAATACAGGGCCCAAAGGCTTAATGCTTTGGCTGATTAACCACCATACGAGGTCAGTTAAATATCAACTGCAGATACAGCTTATGGCTCACGTTCAATCCAAAGCCGTATTTTAATCACCCATCCAATTTTCGGGCGTTGCAAAAGTTTCTTAGCTACTACAAGACTAGTAGTAGAAGATCCGAACCTACATAGACCTTCACCGAGCTGATAATAGAATGAAACATATTTTGTCATGACTTTAGTATATTATTAAATATTAAAAAAATGGGTTGCCTAAAAAAATTATGAACTTACTAGTTTTAATTATTTTTTAAAATATGATTTAAAAAAAATATGTTGCAACAACAGAAAATGTTGTCCTGACTTAAAGTATAAAACGTATAGAATGTGCAGCCGTTGGTTAACTTAACTAGCATCGATAAACCTGTTTATACCTGGCAACCCAGCAGTTCGCCCAGGTAAATAATAAACAACGCAACGGCTGCACATTTTATATGATTATACTGTTTTAGGATATAATTTTTTTTTATTTTAATATATTCTTATATATATTAAAAATCCATTAAAAATGGCCTGTCCAGGATTTTTTAGGTAACCCATTTTTAATATATTTTCTAATATACTAAATTCACGATAAAATATGATTCATTCAATTAGCAGCTCTGTGAAGGTTGATGTAGGTTCGGATCTTAGACCATAGACATCCAAAGGAAGACTGTATATGATAGAATACTTAAAGAAAACAGCCACCATAGCCTATAGATACTTGCGATACCAAATTGATGAGATTTTATTTACTACCCTAAATAAGTCGTTTATCGATCGCAGCTGTCACCGGGACGTCAACGAAAACGAGATGATTTCAACATGAGTTTAAGATAACGTGACGGGCTTGCAGTGGACAAGCGGCTATAGTAAACATACTCGTATGTTTCGATATTTCGGCGCCGTCGAAAAGTTGCCTTCTTATCGAGAATCTCGAAGCGCGGCTGGTTAGCGCGTTCAACTTTCAGCTGTCGGTCATTGGATGGGTGACCAAAAATCTTCTATCTCGAGTCCTTCTGTGCTTTGGAAGGCACGGTAAGCCGTTGGTCCCGGCTGCATCTGCAGTCGTTAGCACCCGCCAATCTGCACTGGGCCCGCATGGTGGGTCAAGGCCCGATCTCCCTATTCCATCCATAGGGAAGGCCTGTGCCCCAGCAGTGGGAACAGTAATAGGCGGATGGTGAATCTTCTAGTACAAAGAAATGGTTGAGCGATGATTATTGATGATTAATGTTCCGCATAATGCATTAAATTGTTAACATTTACGTGGGAAATCAATGAATTAACACGCTTTAAAAAAATTAAGCAAAGAAGTTCAGAGAGTGAGAGTGATTTTAAAAATAATTATGTTGTCTTTTTATTGTATTTTTTCCACAAACCTTGTCCTGACAATAACGAACACAATAAAAAAAGAATTATCCAATTTAGTTCAGCCGTTCGGAAATGATGCGCATACAACTTTTCGATGATTCATTTTTATATATTATTCATAGGGATTTACATAATATTCCTATCAAAAACTAAGTTCAATAACGCGGAAACTGCAAAGTAAAAAGATAGGATTTCAGTCAATAGGTGACCACTTGTAATTCTTTGACAAACATAACTACTGCTATAATATGACGATGTAGTATTTGTAATGATCAATGAAATTCTATCGGAGTTCCTTGTTAACCGGACACAACGGTAAAATTATATCAACTAATGGCCTGCAATAGCTTCCGAAATCATCCGATCCGTCCGATGTACATGAAAGTTAACAACAGACACTTTCTTTGTTCTGGAGATCTGTCCTTGTCAGTGCAACTTAGGAAATTCAAAAAAAAACAATTAATGTTACGTCAATTCGTCATATCATCGTTAAATAAAATAAGTTGGTCAACTCTAGGAAGCCAGTGCATGGGCCAAAAACGTGAACCGCAAAATCAGTTCATCATTTAATTGAATGCGAACAGAATTGATAAAATCGTATGTGGTGTGAATAGCCCCATTTGTTCCAGCATCAATGGATCCGAGGTGATGTTAAATAGATATTTTAGCTGCACAATATTCTATTTTCTTTTGCCTTCGAGTGCTTAGAACGGTCGTCAGAAAAATTTAGTGATCGTAAAAGTCGCTTATATTTTCTATCGTGCGCTGATCCTTCGCTCTTTAAAATCACATGTGGGTGTCTAACATTTTAGAAATATTATTTTTAATGATGATGATGCAAAATCGATTTTTAGTAAAATTTAAAGTCAGAGGTAAAGGTAGTTTTAAATAAATCCATTTTGATAAATTTAACTTTTTTTGGTTTGGTTATACATGTTACAGTTACGAGATTATTGCCTTAATTTGATAATATAGTCAAACTAAATCATAATAGTTGACCTCTTATATTCTTGAGACTAGCTCTATTAGTATATTGCGAGCATTTCAAATGCACCAATACGTAGATGATCAGCCTTTTTGTGTGTCCAGATGCCTAACCGAAAAATTGAGATATTAAGAATGGTACAGACTAGTGATGTAACGAATATTCGCATTCGCATTCGCGTTTATTCGCATATTTTCGAATATTCGCATTCACATTCGCATTCGCAAAATCTCTGCGAATGTTTTGCGAATATGAATATTAGAAAAATACAATTTGAAGAAGTTGTAGTTCTGCCTTTCCTTGAATATTCATTGTTACACAGTTTGCATTTAGCTTGTTCAGCATCGCAAAGTGTGAAATAAGTCCATGTTTCACTAGAATTCGATTTACTCATGTTAATAAATCACTATTACCACTCACAATCACTAACCTCAAAATTCACTTGTTTTGTTTACGGAAATACCGGTGCGAGCGGAATGACACTTCAGTCGGATGAGTTCATATCAACTCGACAATTCGAACGAGACTGCCACCATGCCATAGACAATTGGCGCCAATTTAAAAAAAAAACTAAATATTCGCGAATGTCGGTACCAGACATTCGCATCCGCATTCGCATTCGCGAATGTTCAAAAAATGACATTCGTTACATCACTAGTACAGACTAAGTTGATAAAACCGGCTAAGTGCGTGTCGTGCCCCGCAGTGTAGGGTTTCGTAGTTACCATAATATATTTGAGGAGCTCGATGGCGCAAGTGGTTAGCGCGTTCGGCTGCGATCGTTGAACTTAAGCAACTTTCGCAGTGGTCGGTCATTGGATGGGTGACCAAAAATTACTATCTCGAGCTACTACGGCTTCGGAAGGCACGTTAAGCCGTTGATCCCGGCTGCATTTGCAGTCAGTAGCACCCACCAATCCACACTGGGCCCGCGTGGTGGGTCATGGCCCAATCTCCCTATTCCATCCATATGGAAGGCCTGTGCCCCAGTAGTGGGGACATTAATAGGCTGATGATGATGATGATTTGAGCAATAGTCTTTATTTTCTGTATCGGAAATTAAAAAAACAATTAATATCAATCTATGTACCTCAACTAAAATATCTAAATCAAAGTAAAAATGCGTTTAAAACTCAAAATCAATTATTATTTTTAAATACGCATGATAATTTAATTATTTTTGTTTCCCCGCAGGCGGGGGGGAGCGGGTGTGAAATCCTCATGGTTACCCTACCACCGGTTGCAAGGTTATATCAGACTCTTACTGACTAAAAGCTTCATCTGTGGCGATCATGCTCTGAGACCTTTCAAGTGCTTATATGCTTTTTACAAAAACGTACGTTAGCGCGACTCAGAAGCTGTTGCCGTTGGTACTCGCGGTAGCGTTGTGGAACTAATGATATTTTATTGTAGTTTTAAAATAGATTTTTTTTAGATTCTGTTGCAATGCAAGGTTTTGTGCTACAATATACTATCCTTCCGATTACACATATGTGTAATCTTTCTCTCTCCACTGGTACTTTTCCTAAGGTATTGAAACGAGCTCTTGTCAGTCCCATTTATAAACAAGGGAACAAAAGTGATATTGCCAATTACAGACCAATATCGGTGATACCGGTACTAATTTTTCCGGTGTTGATGATCTCCGAGATCTTGGAGATAGAATTATCAACAATACGCTTGTTGGTTTCTTGGTTAAATATAATTTAATTCAAAGATAATTCCGTACATTCGCTCCGAGCCTTTGCAGAGTCCAAGGGTGGTGAGGTAATCTTAAAAGTCGAGGTCAAAAACGCTTTCAATGCCGTTGATAGGCATAGACACCATGCTGTCAGAAATTAGACTGAGGGCTCCAGCTTTATATAACTTTATGTGGCAGTGCTACAGCAAACCTTCAAAACTTTTATATAAAGACCACCTCCTGTCCTCCTCAGT